TGCTCATACAATATTTAGTCTAAAAACAATATGAAAACAATAAAATACTACAAAACAGGCTGAGTGGCCTTAATATAGAGAGTAACTGACCCCCCCTGACTTACGCGTTTTGATTTACGAGGAAAAAAATGACAATTTTATTTTCTCTTTATTAAAAACTGCACCCCCTTGGAGAAAAGTGTCTTACGGGCCTGTAGTTTATCTTAAATATGTTTAGACCACAAATAGGGGGATAATTTTGTTGATATCTTTGCAACATATTTGTTTTAGAACATCTTTAATATGAGCAAAGGATTTTTCGAACTTAACTTACTTTTTTATGAGTATCATGCGAGGCCTGGATATATACCGTGATAAGAAAATGAGAAAAATATTGACAATTTTGCCACCTGAGTGAATATCACTTTTATTATCTGACATCACACATTTTTGAGAATGCCTTAAGAGTAAATGTATGGTTTGAGTGATTATGTCAATATAATGAACTTTTCTTATTTTTCAGTGTTTGCTGAAGATGTTCCCTGTTGTGCAAGTACCTGCACAAATCATGACATTACCACACAATCAACTAAAATGACATTGGAACTCCGCCATCAGCTAGGCCTATTGTGAATGTGGCTAAGAAGAACAGCAAACATTGACTGTGTTGACTTATTTAACCAGGCTAAAGTAACTTGACCTGCAAAGTTCCTGATAAAAATACATGTGTGAATTAGAAGACCCAGCCAAGATAATGAATATATGAAAATACAACGTACCCCAGAAGCGTCTCATCTTCACATCTCACAATGTCCATGAAGTGATTATCCTCACGGCTATTTGTGACAAAATGACAGAATATTGCAATAATGGAATCAGAGCCTTATTATTCAATGCTGATATCAAGAAACCCAAGTAACTGTGACTTTGCTCTAAATGGCAAAGAAACAGTAACAGCAGATGAAGAATAAAAATCAGTGATGCAACAAACACTGTTGACTATGATTATGAATGTTAACGCAACTGTAATCAGTCAGATGAAACTTTATACAATGTGATACAAGACTCTATAACTCCATCTCATTCTCAACCAATCAATTTGTCATAGCAAAAATCCCTTGGTAAGGGATTGTACATGAAAAAGTCAAACCCTAAAATCCTTCATGATTCATATGACTATGAGCTAACTTAAGGATGGCTACTACATCAGAGTATTGAACTGACAATCTCATCCAATCAATTTGTCATAGCAAAAATCCCTTGGTAAGGGATTTTACATGAAAAAGTCAAACCCTAAAATCCTTCATGATTCATATGACTATGAGCTAAGGATGGCTACTACATCAGAGTATTGAACTGACAATTGAAACTCCCTATAATACAGTAAATAATACTAGACTATTGGGATTCAAGTCAAAACCAACTTGACAAAAAATTCATACACCAAATAAATTTATAACTTCAGCAGTTGGTATTATACAGTAATATATTAATAAAATTAAATACATGAAGTATTATTTGAATATAACATGAACTATTATAAATAAATACAATGTTTCTTTGTTATTTACTGCTGTGCTGGTGTACAAAATCTATCAGAGCATTGAAGTATTGACCAATACTGGTAAAAAATTGACATAAAACTTTGTTGGCCACTAATTTTCCCTCTATTTTCATTCCTGTTATAATGATATTTGTAACAAATTTGTGACCGCGTATACTTGAAGTGAACAAATCTACTCTCATTGTCTTTTGCATTTAGCATAAGGACAGATCTTCTATTTATGCCGACAAAAGAACAGATCTACTCTTATGCCGGGCATAAGAGCAGATCTGCTCTTATGCCCGGCATAAGAACAGATCTGCTCTTATGCCCGGCATAAGAACAGATCTACTCTTATGCCGGGCATAAGAACAGATCTACTCTTATGCCCGGCATAACAACAGATCTACTCTTATGCCGGGCATAAGAACAGATCTTCTCTTATGCCCGGCATAAGAACAGATCTGCTCTTATGCCCGGCATAAAGACAGATCTACTCTTATGCCCGGCATAAGAACAGATCTACTCTTATGCCCGGCATAACAATTGAACCTTATTTGCCCAAACCTCATGTTTGCTGAAATCCGAGTATTTGTAGGATTCCGAGTTCAAATGTCGGGGTGTTTTATATACTTGTAAAATACCCTTGCAGCAAGGATGAAGGTGTGATGACCGTTTATGGTCTGGTATCTAATCTAAACAGAAGCTGAAGTTGGATTAATGAATCACAACCCATTACCATGTATTCTAATGATGATTTGTTTTAATAGAATGGTATAAATAAATATATTACAGCATTCTTATTTATCAGAAAACCTCTTTATCTAAACATTGTGAGATAATAAAGTATGGCGTGCCCCCCCCCCTGATGATATTACAGGGTTGTGAACAGACATTGTGAATATGTCAGAAGTTAAATATTCCAAGCATGCCAGAGAGCAATTTCCAGAGAATACTGTGTAGCTCAGAGCTCTTGACCAATGGTCACAGTGAGATAGTCCTGGAGGAAATAGGAATTTGACATTGTTCTCTGGAAGCATTTTAATTATCTAAACCTTGAACAAATGCTTATAATTTTTTGAGCTGAGAGGCCCAATTTTCTCCCCGAATATAAAATAGAGATTTCTCTGAAATGTGGCATATGTATGAATTTGATTATAATTTGGGGCCTAAAATCGAAGAAATCACTCATTTTTGGCACTTTTTTTGGGGGGTTGGCAGGCCCTGGCCCACAGGTCCAAAAAGAACATGTAAGCTAGCTATGATAAACTGTGCAATCAGTCCATATCTTCACACATCTTTGTCAATGAGATCCCTCACATGCATCACATACAACAAAATCAACTTTTGCTTTGATCAAGCATAACTCATATATGGACACATTGGTAGTAGCCATGACTGCTGTCAGACAGTGTTGAATATTGTTATTTTAACTGATTATACTAACAGGATTACATACCTGATATTACTCACACTAAGCACATAAATCTATTATTTGGGTAGACCATCAGTTGTATTACTATTTACTTGCAGTTTCCATATATTGGTGAAAAATCATTAACCATATTTGGAAATAAGAAACTGGCAAAAATGTAACAGCACCAAAGTGAAGTACAGAATAGATCATTATAAAACAATGATAATGAGAAATAATTTTTGTGAAAGAAAATGATTATCTATTTCATGAATATTGATTTTCAATCAACATCTTGTATCCTTGGATAAGATTATGCATTAGAAATATCTATTTGCCTATTTTGAGGTATTTAACAGGCACAAAATCCTTCATTATGAAGTTTTCTTTGTCAAAATGCCTCTCATTGAAGCAATTTAACCCTACTGTGTAACTGTCTAACAGATATCATTGTTTGCAAGAGTGTCTAGTGTTTATGTTAGACATAACCTTCTTGAGATAAATGACTGCTTGTAACTCTTTCCTGTTGATCATCAATCTAATCTAATATCTTCATATATTCCAAGTTCACTTCAACCTGAGCTACATAGATTCACCAATCAAGGTTTATTAATATTGGCTTATTCAAAAAATTCCGCAACAGGATTTGCTAAATTGCTATACAGAATACCTCTACAGGTCCTAGTATTTATTGATCGGAACATAATTATGAGAGCCTCTATTGAACGTAAGCATATGCATGCTTTATAGTTCATAGACAGCTGCAATTGAGTCTTTGTTGTTCTCTTTCATAAATGCACAGATAAATTATTTCATCTCATCTCAGTTTAACAACAAATAGCATGATGCATGATGTATAAATGAGCATGTACTATATTATGCATATGCATGTAAATCTAGGACCTAGATTCCATGGGGTTCTTGATTGAGTACATGTGCAAGATTGTCCATTCTTTTTTATTGAGTCAAAGAACGTTTTTTCATTTGGGAGAATGTTTTTTATGTAAGCATCAATAGAGGTAAGAAGTATATATGTAGCTAACGGCGTTAATTTTAGTGTTTTGAAATATAGCATTGGCACCTATTTAACTAATTTACATGCAAGACCAGAACCCCAGGGGGTTCACTGAATATAAACCTTGACGGGGATCCTCGGCGCACATGGGGTACCTTTTTGGACATTTGGTATGGCAATGGACCCAAATTTTAGGATGTGGTATGAGAATGCCTCCTCATTAAACTTTTGAGAGATGGAAATGGTCAGATTTTTCAACTTTCTGGTATGAGAATGGTCATGGAAAATATGTTATCTCACAATTATGGTATGGAATTAGTCTAGTAGTTACACATATCCTAATATGAGGTTGTTTTGGTTCCTTTTCCTCAAAGATCGCCTTCTTCTTGGGACCTTCTTCAATTTAAATAAATAGCCTTTTCCCCAGGAAATATTCTACTTTGGACCAGTCATGGCATTGGTCCTATATTTCGACATTTGGTATGGCATTGGTTTCATATTTGGGCATTTGGGATGGCTTTTGGGCACTATATCGGTTGGTATGGGAACACATTCAAATTTGACATTTTGGTATTAGGGGAATAAATTGATATCTGAGGGTTCAGCCTAGGACCCCTGCCAAATTTTGTACACAGTGAACCCCCCGGGACCAGAACAAAGAGATGGTGTGATGGTACTATATATCGAGTCTAGTATCTGAACTAATGTTTTCATCAGATACAAGAATCGATATTTATGTTGGTACTAGATAAAATTATGTTGGAGTGATGTAACCAGAAAGAAAAAGAAACAAGGCAAAAAAATTTCTAAATCTTACTTCAAGTGCCAGGCCATAGAAGAACACTATGATAACCCTTATATAATGAGTTCACAATTTAATCATCTGGATAGTGACTACTGTCTACATTTGTAAGCTGATCAAGGAGCAATATATACGTTTTCAACACTTTTGGATAAAACAAAATGATCGGTCCCTAAAATAAGAATAAATCTACAACACCAATCTAAGATGTTCTGGCCATGGTTCAGCTGGGCACGATAATAATATAAACCAAAACATGAGCACTAAATTATAATTTAATAAATAAGACCCAACTTACCACAAATAGTAGATTACAAGTGAGTTTTATCGGGAAAACAACGGGTACAATTTTCCAGAGCTCCGCTTCTTTCAAACTTCCGTCGGAAAACGCGGATTGATTTATCTGCATCGGAAATTCATAAATTTCACTTTGTAAGAAGTCTATGCGGTGTAACTTATGGGATCCATTATCCAATCATTATTAGTAAATGTAATAGTACAGTAGAGTGTTGTTGTATTCTCCTGTTTAGTACAAATGGTCTATACCTTTGAGATTTATTTCTTTTGCAGAAGGCTATCCTTGGAAAATAGATGCTCTTCGACCAACTAGCGGGGAACTTAAAAGTCAAATTCCTGTCTAATTTTAGTATTATTGGTAATCCAGACTCAGTTGAGTACAAAGGAAGCAGAGAAGGATGTCGATATGGCTCCCAAAAGGAAGGGTACACTTCGACAAGACGACAGTTCAGGTGAGATAGAGGGAAAGCGTGAAAATACTCAATTTTACTCACAATTCTAATAATAAAACTTGTTTCGTTCGGTGTAAGCTTGGTTCCCGGGGCATCGGATTTCCCGTGTTGTTATTGTCCCTCCCAAATTGAGGAAATGGAAATAAAATTAATAATTAAAAAACAAATTTCGTCAGTAATATAGGCCTAGTGAAGTCATCAGTCCGTTCGTCTATCTGTCTGCAAAATAACTTGAATAATGTGACCTGGAATGTGACAGCACCTTCATTGATTAGTGTTGTCGCGATTAATCGATACATCGCGATATACATCGCCAAAGCTGATTCTGGCGATGTATCGATGTCTGAAACAAAACATCGATGTTTTTAAAAAAAGAATTGCTAAAAATCACCCTTTCTTTTCTTATTTTGACGCAAATCGCTTACCTTTCTCATGTCTTATTTCATTTTCCAATGTTTTCTGATATTCTTTGGCTTTAAAACTGTTTAAGCTAGTCGAAATGAACCATTAATCTAAAAAAATTACTTTACTTTCATTTCACCGTTTCTAGAAGTTCCCGGATGTTCGGTATTTTTGTACATTAGCCTTCGGTATTTCAGTGCACTTTTCTCGGACTTTTTCTCGATGTACATCGCGATGTGCATCGATGTTTACTACTGAAAAATGCCGATGCATCGATGTATGATTATGGCACATTGCGACAACACTACCATTGATGCCATACACTATCTATGCAGCCGAAGGTAATGTTGTCACGATTAATCAATACATCCTGATATACATCGGCAAAGCTGATTCTGGCGATGCATCAATGTCTGAAAGAAAACATTGATGTTTGATTTTGCTAAGAATCACCCTTATCTTAAACGCAAATGACACAAATGTCTTACCTATTTCAACATTTTCCAATGTTCTCTGATATTCTTTAACGTTAAAACTGTTTTAATTAGTTGAAATGAACCATTAATCTAAATTTTTTACTTTATTTTCACTTCACTTCACTTCACTGCAGGCCTGTAGCCAGGGGGGAGCCAAAACCGTCAAAAAGCCCCCCCCCCCCTTGGCAAAAACTCCCCCCTTGGTAAAACCACTACCCCCTGGTAAATCCTGGCTACCGGCCTGCACTGTTGTCAGAAGTACCTGGATTTACCAGCGACCAGCATTTTGTTATTTATTTATTCCGTCAGTATTTTAGTGCATTAGCATTCGGCATTTCAGTGCACTTTTCTTGGACTTTTTCTCAATGTACATCGCGATGTGTATCAATGTTTACTAATGAAAATTGCCGATACATTGATGTACAGTTATGGCACATAGCGAAAGCACTAGATGAAGGTAGCCCATACAATCATAGTTTATATCCAAAAGACTGAATATCTTTGAAATTCAGTGTATTGATCATTATGTCCTTCCTGGGAAAAAAACAAGAAAGGGCTACATATTCTCGGTTTGGAGAACAAAGTTCATCACTCAAAATGAGCATTATCCCTGCTTCAGACTAATTTGATTTTTTACATAATATAGATTTGAATGTTGTCTTTGGATTAGTTATAATTTAATTTGGATGATATTTCTAGATTTTTCATAAAAAATTATTAGCGCACTACACTGATGAACTTCTTTCTCCAAATCAAGACTTATTTTATTGAATCATTCTACTGCACCATTATCCCTGCTTCAGACAATTGTGATATTTTACATATTGTAGATTTAAATGTCCTCTTTTGAATATTCATAATTTAATTTGGGTGATATTTCTATATTTTTCATAAAAAAATTTAGCCCAGGAGACTGTTCTCCAAACTGAGACTTGTCTGCACAAAATTATCAATTTTAGGAGCTTCACTTCCCAAAAATAAACATTATAACAATTCATTTAAGTAGTAAGGTACAATTAAATGCTATAAAAAGTAACACAGCCTATTGTCAAATGGAAATAAAGCTAGGGGAAGTATCAAATATGTAAATTGATTCACTCCATTGGTCATTTTGAATGGCACTTCCTATGTAAACAAAAATATTTTTCAATCCCAAATTTTAACAAATGTGGGCTATAGTCTGAATAATTGCATTACGGTTTCTCAAAATTTTTCAGACTAGAGGATGTAGTCTACATACAACCAGCTAGTTTTTGAATCGTTTTGATTTTTTAATTGATGTTGGCATATTCTTCTTCATTCATATTGCTGTGAAATAACAAGCTATGATATTGGTAAATATGCCAGAAATGTACATAATATTATTCAAAGCGTATTTCAAAAATTTTGAGGCTGCCATTTTGTTTGTATATTTTGACCAATCAGAGACGTATGTCATCTCAATACAAATTTATATTAAAAGCGTATGTCATCTTTTAACTCTGAGATTATTCCCCCTCTTCACATTCGTGTTACCTTTGGCCAAAAGCAAAGCAAAAGCAAATCTTCGGTAAATTCCAGTTTTTATTGAAGTATCTTCGCTGCATGCCAAATATTGTGACCCCTCGAATAAATAAATGGGCAATGGCCTTTTTATACTGATGCATAGAGATAAAGGAGCTCTGCTCTAAAAGAAATTTTCAAGATGGCTGCTATTTGTCAAAATCGCCATTTTTCATTAAAATGTTATCTTTGATAACTCAAGTACCAGTAGATTGGTTTGGATCTATAACTTGATATGGCCGCTATTTTTCAAAACATGTTTTGTTTTGCTACTCTTTGGAGTTCCTGTTTTTTAGTTTGTTCATGGGTTTTCAACAGACGAAAGCCCATGTGGTTTGTTAAAACTGTTTCCATCATGCTTTGAACCCACCTTTCACTATAAAACGAACCCACTTTGGTACAAAAGATAAAAAATAATGGCGCCAGCCACGCACATATTTCTTGCCACAATCAATTTTAAACACCACCAGAAATGTTCTCCCAATGGCCAAAAAGTTGTGGCTGTCTCAAATTGCAGTAACCCTACTATCACACCAAACTAGTTCTCACTATGTTCTCGAAAACGGGCTTAAACTGTACACGAACAGATTTGACAGAATAAGAATCAACTAAGAACCATTTGGGATCTGTTTACAAAGGTCCATGTGCAGTATGGCAAGTGATTTTAGACGGTCTTATCTTTCACCATGGGTACTTACTGGTCATCTATACAGTGGTTTTTATTAAAAGAATGTTTTCTTACAAGTGAAGTCCCCATGATAGTAAAATATCATTCTAACTCTCTGAAAAATGATGGATTAGGACCCCACCTTCGCACTTTTTTAAAAATGTTAGGCTCATTTTCTAAAAAGAGGATCTTGTTTTTCTCAATTTGAACATATCAAAAGTTCCTTCTACACTATATTAACAATTTCTGAAAAGGGGATGTGTATTGAAATCCGTTAAAGTTAAAAACCACATATCCCATGTTATTTTCCCATAGGGAAAACTTGTGCTATCCATTGTTTTCAGCATAATTTTGGTCATCGAAAATTGATATCTTCAAAACTGTATATACCATCTCAAAATTGTTGATTTCTCAAGAACTTTGGACTTGGCATTGACAGATGAAACTTGTGTAACATGGACAATTTGCAATCTGGGCAACTAATTACTATTTAGTAGACTTTTAGTAATCACTGCTTCTTCACCACTTCTCCAGGTAAATCGTTTGAAGAATTTATGAAAATCTTCAAGGGTATAAAAATGTAGAATTTAAAAAGTGACGTAAGACATGGGCTTTAAACTGAAACAAAGATTATAATATGTAATATTGCAATTGTTTTATTTTCAGGGTCGAAGAAGAAAAAGGATGACATGAAACGCAGCAAAGAAAAAAAATCACCCAGCCGTGCAATGACAAGCAAATACTTGACATTGAAGAACTATATTAAAGCAGATACTTGGTTGGAAGTTTTAAGTGAAGAATTCACCAAACCCTACTTTATTCAGTTAGAAGGAAAACTAGCATCAGAATTATCTGAAAATATAACCATATTTCCACCAAAAGAAAAAATATTCAATGCTCTGAATATTACACCTTTGAACCAGGTAAGACCATTTTTACTATACTAGACCTTTGGTTATTATATTAATGTATTTTGTCTCAGTATTTCTCATTCTGATACTCATGGCATCTTTCTGTTTCACCTGAAACATGTTCTGATATTATGAGGCACATTCTGTGACCTGAACACATCAGATGGGAAGAGTTATAATTGACAATAAGTGTGATAGTTATTAGCATGGGCTTTCAACTAGAGTAGTTGGAAGCCCATGTTATTAGTAATCATTTATATCATGGCATCTCAGGGCTGAGAAGTAATGAGATGTCATGGTTAGTTTATCATGACTACTATTTCTAGCCTTAACCAGTTTTTAACATCAGCTTGAAGGACAGCCTCTGACAATGATAATCTATCAATTGTTTATGTGGGCAAATTATCTTTTCTGGGTGCACACTACAATAGTTTTGGCATATAGACTGGTTATAATATTTTCAGCACATTATTAATTATGTGCCATATTAGGGCCTCAACCATTTTCTGTCAAAATTGAATTGTTTATCCAATGACATCTATTATTTGTGAGTACTTATATAGTTTGAAACATATTTTTGTCTTCCAAAATTTCAACGTGGGAATTTTAAAATACTCAAAATGAAGTAAAATAATTTCTTACTGTGATGAATTTGATTTTAGGTGAGACTGGTTTTACTTGGACAAGACCCTTATCATGATGATGGGCAGGTGTGTTTTTCCATCTATACTTATATATTTAAATGGCAGAGGTTGGAATGAAAGAGCATAAGTCCACATGTGTGTGGGACTTAGAAGGTACTAAGAAGAGGCATAAATCTGAGGTAGACTGAACTCAAAATTAATGGAAACTAAAATTTCTCATTTTTTCAAAGTCAAAGTAGATTATTGATCAAAGTAGAAGTGTAGAAGCTTTTGAATCAATATTACAACTGATTTTTTGTGATTTCTTAAATTCAGGCGATGGGTCTATCATTTTCTGTGCCAGAAGGGATCAAGATTCCCCCATCACTGAGAAACATCTACAAGGAGCTAAGCACAGATATCCCTGGATTTACCACTCCACAGCATGGATGTCTGGAGGCCTGGGCAAGACAAGGGGTTCTTCTTCTGAATGCCACTCTTACTGTAGAGTTAGTATATATCTTATGTATCAATATATACCGTCACTCAGTTGTGTCCAGTTTGTCAGGTCAACTTTTGCATCATCCTTCACCCACAGGCTGTCTTGTGTATTATCTTTGACAGTATCCTTGGTAACAACTGTTCATTAGAATCAAATTTTTGTATTGTTATGTTGAACAATAAGGGAGTTTCTATATGGCTGAAAAAAGCTGATATAATAGATGTCACCCTTGTATATTTTTTGTTTTGGTTGGTCCAGACTGCCATAGACTTCCATGTTATAAACTTCAAATAGTCACTTTAGTTCATGATTGATGAAAAGTGTTGGTTGAATCTGTTTGAAACTCAAATTAGCATTACATCAATGGAGATTTGGTCCAAGTTAAAAAGATTAAATGACATAACTGTATAAGTCAAAGTTATTATTGTTGAAAACAAACTAAATTCAAAAATGCTATTAAAAAGAAGGAAATGTAAGTCATAGAGATTTAATTTGCTAATCTCTTAAAATCCTACAAAGAAATGAGAATTTGCATGATTTAAAAGTGATATAGAGACTCCTCTATTGTATCACATTAGTTGAAGCACCATAAAATATATCAACAAGTCAACTCAATAAAGTTTCATTAAATTTTTACTAAATATTGGAATTCATATGATTTCAGGGCCCATAAAGCAAACTCGCATTCAAAATATGGCTGGCAGAAGTTCACAGATGAAATCATCCGCAAAGTAAGCGAGGCCAATCAGCAAGTTGTATTCTTATTGTGGGGTGGCTTTGCTCATAAAAAATCTGTGTTAATAGATGAGAGCAAACACACAGTGATAAAAACTGCACATCCTTCCCCATTATCATGGACTAAATTTGAAGGCTGTAAATGCTTCTCTAAGGTCAATAAAGCCCTGGAAAAATCAGGTAAAGATCCTATTGACTGGACACTGTAAAGAACTGAAAGCTAAGAATAATTGATAAATAGTGCCAACTAATTGATCACTGCCACATCAAGGCTAGTAAGAGTGACTCTTGGACTAACTGCTGCAATCCTCTGCCATCAAATTTAAAATGGAACTTCTCAGATTGGACACAGCGAGTGAGGTACATGTTATATTATTTATAGTCAGAGTAGGTGCATGAGGCTACTCTGTTTTTAATGTTGACTGTTATAAAATTAGTTAAAGTTAACTTTTCAAGTTTAATTTTGGTTGTACTACCACAATGTCTGGTGCAGGTGCACACAATCCAAGAGATTTCTTCCAATGACTCACCATGGTGTTCACTTACATGGACCAATGATGTGCTTTGAGACTTGGACATGGCAGGTCACATCCTCTTGTGTAATAATGTGTTATATTTATTAAATAACACTTGATTGCAATCATCAAAATAAATCAATTTTTCACACATAGTGAGTGTTCTTTAATGAAGAAGATTCAATATCAAGTTGTTTTTAGTAATATCAATGTTTTGAAATCGTTCAAAGACAATGTTTTGACTTGTGGAATAGAACCTCAGTGTTGCCATCTATTGGCTGACCACAATGCCATTACTTGATCAATAGATTATATTTTTGAGACATGATACATTTATGACTGTTGATGTACACCATAAAGAATACCATTAACTAGAGCAGTCAAAACCACTGATCTCATGTTGCCTGTGTATATTCGCATAGATGTATATAATTTGAATATTGTGTTTGTGTTTTGTCATCATGAGAACACACTTTTCAACACTAGTACAACAGTCCCCACAAATAATTAATGTTATGATTTTATTCACTTTAAGATATTATATGTACTTGTGTTACATACCTAGCGAAGCTTTCATATGAGAGTCAATGGAAAACTAGACATAGCCTGCCTCATTAATAACAGTGCAAGGCAATGCTATGAAGTCGTTCAAGTCATGTTTCATTTCTGCCAAATTTTACTTGCACACAAATGTGTGACGTCATTGACATAAAGTAGTCATGGGAATATTTCAGGTCAAAGTGACATAACCTCTCAATATTCCATGTAAATAATATTTAAAGGGCAATCTCCTGTAAATATAATCATCAATCAATAGACTGATAATATCAAAGGTTGAAAGAATAACCCGAGTATAAAGCAGCATGACAAGTTAAAAGTTGAATTTTTTACTCTCACCCTTTTTTCAATTTTAATAAATGCATTAAATGATTTTTTCAATATTGAATAATTTCATAAAAGAAGCTTGTTATTAATGGAAAGTCTATTGATGATGCAAGCTATTAAACATTCTGAATTAAATTTTTTGTATTTCAGGATCAGAAGACCACTTGTTTTCCCTTCAATGTTGTTATTTAGAGTTGCAATAATAATTCAACTTTTAAACACCTTTTCACTTTGAACATGTTGTATTTTTAAAGTATAAAGAAAATAAATTTATTTTCCAAAAAATATTTATATTTTATTGAATGAAGTATATCAGCAAATATTTGTGATACTGAATGAAGTATAGTTTTGGGACTTTAATATTGTACAATATGTACATACACGATCATGCTTAGGGTCGGGTCAATATTTCAATGTCCGTCAAAAAACGTAATTAATTTAGTCAGGTCTTGACCTCCCTCCCCCTTCTTACGAAAATCAAAATGTTCATTTGCGCGCGTGGAGAACACAAGTCAAAATGATGATTTCCAGCACTGTACAAGTACAACCCCAGCACACAATATCTGCTATTGCTATAAACAACACATATAAATTCTATTTACTATTGAGTATATTTAATGTCTGATCATATCATGTCATACCAAATAAAATAACATAGACAATGTCATACTGAATAGTTTTAAATAAAGATTCCTGCGAAATTACTACTGATGTATGAAGTATTCAAAAACCGCCAAAAACTTCAAAACAAGACGAGAACACACATATATATTAGGAAAAATATATAAAAATATAATTGTAATAAAAGATATTAGAGAGGTTTCAATAAAAGTTGTTTTGAAAATGTATACATAAACTTGTACTTTAAAGGGTCTTGTCACACTAAAATCAATTTGAAATTGATTTTCATGAATTGTTCCCAGTTGACATAAATAGTTTCCGTGTTGTAAAGCATATTGCCCGCAGAGTTTTGTGAGATGCCACAAAACCAATCGGCCAATCAAAGATGCGATATTTATTGAGTCTGTATAGACATTTTCAATATTTTGTCACTTGACGAAGCAGAGGGTTCTGATTGGGTCCGTGGACTTAACACCAGACCATGAACTGCCGCATACGAATGGGAGAAACAAAGTGACCTTTTATGCCACTGGGTCTCTAGACCCAGTAGAAAGTGACGATGGTAATTGGTATGCTTATGGTTTTGTTTATGAATGCAAATGAATCGTTTGGTTTTGTTTACAAAAAGATTTAATTGAATTTTTCGTTCATCGCCATTGTGAAAATGCCAGGATGTATTTCATGCAATGAACGAAAAGTGAATGCGAAATTGCAAAAACAGAAATCCTGGGAAACTGAAAATCGATGTCCGTCACCTCCAACTTCTAATGTAATTAATTACGTTTTATTGACGGACATCGATGTTTTGACCCCGCCCCTTATTTCCCTATGACCCTGTTTTGAGCACATTTACAATGCTACATTATATCTTCCTGCACTATTAACAGAATAGCATTTTAATTGACAATGTACATTTCTAAATGTTTTCATCCTCGTCTTCAGGTTCTGTAGCTAGTAGGTTTACAGCTTTGTTGCTGCTCAGATCTTTACTTCAAAAATTCAGAACATAAAGCAATAAAAAATTCCCATGTGGAAGTGCGTTCAGCATCTCTTTAATTCTATTAGATTCAGTTCAAAGTTCAAACTGTTTATTAGTTTTCTATTCCTGTAAAGCTGCCATTTTGAAGTCCTGTACTATAACATCTTCATGTGCTCACTGGATTCAAACCAACGGGAGCTGATTGAATGAAGATGGTGCTATGGTAGCCCATTAAGTTTGTACAAGGAATAAATCCCATGATTCAGCTGGCTCCAGTGCAGGGGATGGGCCACTCACAACAATCCAGCAACCTCTTTCAACATGACTATATGTGAAATGAGTACAGCTGAGTTTGACACACACAATTGCACACTCTGTGGCACTCTCCGCTGTAGAGGTGTTGATCGCACTTCCAGATACAAAGTTCTGACCCTGTTGCACTTTGTGTATATATTTCCCCTGTCCTATAAAAACAAAAGGTGACATTCTATAGGAGATTCTGGTCAAATTACCTGTCAGTGCTCATTCTTATTCCTTAATAAGTGACTTAATCATATCATTTTAGTCAGGAGGTTTCTTGTCACTTTCTTTCAGGTAGAACACTAGTTGATGATATCTATATTTTCTTTTTTTGTTTGGTATTAAAAAGGTTTGCTATGAAAAAAGCAAATCATCAGAAAAGTATAACTGACTGATTAAGGTTGAAGCCAAATAAGTTGACAACATGTACCAAAGAATTTGAAATCACAAGCAAAGAATTTGACAGGGTGTAGAGATACCAAGAAGTTGAGATCACATAGTGTACATAAGGTGCAACTGTCATTTATTGGCACAAATTAATACAAGAGATGCTCAGATTACCCCATCTTATTACCATTTTGATTTTTGTGGTTCAGTGTCACATTGTAAGATCTAAATGACTTCATGAGGCTGAATATATTATGTATACGTACCATCTGTTGATGCTGAGCCTCCAGATAGGCCATTTCTTGCACAGATGTAAGCCTTATAGCCCAAACAGTCTCCATCCAGCCAGCCAACACTGGGAGACACACTGGAGTAGACACATTGGCCAGAGTTGTCAGGCTCCCCAGCTATGTAATTACTAATTGTCATTGTAGCCCCATTCAAGTCTTGGGTGTCGGGAGAAATATACTTCACACCAATCCAGGCCTCTAAAGTCACTTTAAATATAGAACAATGTCTAGATATTCTTCATGAATTACTTTTTGTAGGTATTGTATATCGTAAGTTCAATAGATGCTTTTCCATATAGCCTTGAAATCTCGTTAAAGTCTCGTTTTTAATGAGATTTTCGGAGATCTGCATTTTTAACCACTAAAGACGAACATTTTATTCTATTTGATGGCATATTTGAATTCTGTGTGTAATTTTCTATTAAAACAATTTGCACTATTATTTACCTTTATTCAAATTCTAGAGATTTTCAAGTTTTCTTAAAGTGGCCAGGCTATATCCCCATTGACACAATGTTGAAAAACCTTTAAAATTTCATTTACTCTTATAAGTATCACAATTTTAATGTGAAATTATAATCCACATGTCAATAATATCATATAGTTACATTCCAATTGTGTTTTAATGATCCTAATGTAATTAAGTGACTCTTGCCATTGAGTTGGCATGTTATTTAGCCCTACCATTACTCATGATGCCACCTATTTTTCCATTTATATGGAAAAGGGTCAATTGATGAAACAATTCTAAATTATATAACATACAATCCTTATGTTAATAGTCTCATCTGGTATTAAATCTTTATCGTACAGTAAAACCTTTCTTTGTGAACACTTCTCTCTAGTGAACACCTGTGTCTAATGAACACCTCTTCACAGTACTGTATAAAATTGACTCTGTATTGAACACCTACCTATAGTGAACACATTTTTGTGGCTCCATAGGTGTTCACTGTACACAGGTTTTACTGTAGTCTGATATGAGAACTAACCTGTAGAATCCGTGATAAGAGTCTGGTAGAAATCAATATCTGATTGTGTCTCAGGTATAGCTAGGTGTCCACCATTTCCCTGGCATTTTGTCTCAGCATCCGCCCATCTTTGTGGCAAATTAACAAACTGGACACATTTTCCATTCTTCAAGAATTCTCCTGTACGGCATTGGTTTCCTAAAAATATCAAATATGGTATTTTTGTGTTTAGGTTATTTACTTCATTTTATATGATGTAGGAACTTTGATTGATGTTTGATTGAATCTTATCATCTATTTTTAGGGTACACAAAGAGAATGTTAAATGTGCGATATGGTGGTTTTTGAGAAATGTTATAATTTCAATATAAAAAAATCACAGTAGAGTTTTGGTGTTTACTACATTTTAATAAAAATGAAATTTTAACAAAAAGACTCATTCCTTTAATTCATGACGGAACATTGCTTAGAAACACAATTTGTATTAAAATTTCAATTTTGATATCAAAAAGTCATGTTTTTCACTAATTATTAACTATCTACCACTGGATGCTTATAAATGCAATACGTTCAAATCCATTCAAAAAGTTCATAGCTTTTGACATATATGGAACTTGGATGTAAAGTTTTCGTTCTAGTTTTGATGTGCCATTGACATTTTCTGAGTCCTCTTTGTTTTGAAGATAAATTGGCACATTTTGGTAACAGTACTTGTTAGTGCAGGGCCAATTTATTGAGAAAGATTGCTTCCAACCTTTTCATTGTCTTTCCCGCAATTGTACAATTGTTCCCCATTGGTATTCCTTTATTTTGCCCAAATGATAATAAATTAATGTATTGATTTATCGATCGTCCGGCTGATCTTTCCTTTTCATGATTATAATTGTCTTTTGATTTTATTCAGTGATCACAGTACTTGTTTTCGTAACTAAAAACATGAGATGAAATTGCAGATCTGCTTTTTCTAATAATCCATACTGAAACTGTTAGTAATATCCTGTTCGTGAATGATTGAATTGATATAGCATCGATTATAGGTAAGGTAAAGATTCGCAAACATGTTTCGGTCATTTACACATTCTCTCCAATATCTGCAATCAATGTTACACCCACGTGCTGCTTGCCATGTGACATCATTTTGAAATTAAGATTTTGAGCACTAACAATTTTTGCAGATGCTGTCCCTAACTACCAACAACAACAGATTTATGAATAATAACTAGAAATCAAGATTGCAAGAAAACTTATGGAGGTCCTCATAGGCATTTTTGACCTTTTATCGGTCAATATATGGTCATATCACATATCAAAGGTCAAATTAGAAGGTTATATACTTAGGTGGTTACTAGGTCAGTTCCTACTTCAGTTATCAGTCGGTTGGTAAGTTAGTTATCAAGTTAGTTATCAAGTTGGTTCGTTTGTCTGTTCTTTTTCAGACCTCATCTTGTCTTATGTGACCTATTTGACCTAAAGAATCCAAATAACCGATTTGAATATTATCATATTATATGGCCTTTCAAAGGTCCCTGAGGGTCAACTAAAAATCAACTCTCAAATCTAAGGCCAGATATGAACTCCAGCCAAATCACAGATAATGTTTATAAATAGATTTATTCAGTATGAAGCATGTTGAAATTTGACTATGAAAAATTTTGAAATTTGACCTTTTTTCAGTTTTTTCAGTTTTTGAGCTCTTAAATGTCAAAACTGGTGCAAAATGTTAATAGATAGTGAATTGCTAATATGTGTAGAGGAGGACTGTATAACCTTACTTTCAACCAAAAATATTGATTTGTAATCTCAAACTTTGGGAAACTTACATAACACCCATTTGTGATTTAGTTTGTTAACCTTGACCATTGACCTTGAAAATTTTACCTTTTCAGACCTCAGTAGGAATTTGGTGATTTAAGATGACATAATTTTTATTTCCAAGAATTGATTTAAAAATCAAGTCAAGCAAAGGTAAAATCTAAAGTTAGATTTGATCTTCTGAGAACTTATAGATGATTTTGAAAAAGAAATTTGTCAATTTGAAGCAAGTTAAAAAATACCTTTTTTGCCATGGTACCAGATATTGGCAGAAATGTGTTGGAACTCATAACATTGAAGCCAGTCTAAACAATACTTGTTAAGTTATTGTAATTTGTATAAAGTTACACCGACCACGGAACACCAACTGCCGAACATGATAACTTGAAAAATTTGCTATGACTGAAAATTCAAAAGATAATGGAGCAATTTTGATGAAATCTAATATATGAATAATAAGCAGCATGTTACATGTTCTCATGACAATATGGCTAGTGGGCAGCCTTTTTGAAAAATGGTAGCAATTCTTATGTGTGCTATTGCGCATATTGCACTTATGACAATTTGGCTAGTAGGCAGCCATTTTGAAATATGGTAGCCATTTTTATGTGTGCTATTGTGCATATTGCACTATGACAATTTGGCTAGTGAGCGACCATTTTGAGAATGGTGGCCATTTTTATGTGTGTTATTTTACAATTTTTGCTATAACTGAAAAAGTACTAGAGGGATTGTGTAAAAATGGCAGCCATGGTTTTTCGATAGGATTTGGTACACTTTGGTGTTGGTGTTATCTAGTTTATTGCTTTTTTTGTTTTCTGTGTTCTGATTGGCTGGAATTTGACACACCTTGCTTAGCTATGTGTGAATATCAATTAATCCATAACTGGGTAAATAGTTATATTCTTGAATTTCAAAGTACTAGGATTTGTTCTATTTTAGACTTACATAAACTCCATAAGCCAATGACTTATAGATTTGTTTGCATTGTTTGTTGCAGAAAATAGCTGGGGAATAGCTTTTCAATGCCTCTTCAATAGCAATGGAAGTTGTTGATAGAGGCCGTAGTTGTTATTGATAACTGATGACCATCAATATATACTATCTAAAGCTAACCTTTTTATATGGCCTTCAGGATAAAGATCAATGAGTTTTAAAAATAGATAAATTAAGAACCAGTCATAAAGAAACAAGTTCTCAAAATTGATAAACATGTAAATAGTACCTGATTCTGGATCCTCATTACAGAGGTTCCCAGTACAGCAATATGTGCACTGTCTCGTTGTATATGGGCCAATACCCTCATTGTCACAGTTATCAGTGCTCTGGCCTGACTGACAGCCTGACAAAGCATCACAACTCTTCGAAATGGTCAGCACACCCCCATTGTAGTAATAGTAGCCTCGACATGCATCCTGAGATAATAAAAAATATGATGATATCAAAATAGTACAATGCGTACGCCAATCATGGATATGGATTTTTTTATTTTATTTTTCAAGAATGTTTTCAGATCACAATGGCCTTTTATCACAGGGTTACAAATGGTGCTGGTAGTTCACTGATTTTTTTCAACAAAATCAGATAACGTTTAAACTGGCCCATTGGCCATTCTTTGCATAATTGCATCCCAATAGATTGCATAGCTGGCAACTCCAACTTTTCAATGGAAAACCAGGTTTAGTTATGAAGAATACCAATCAAAATAATTTCTGTTTTACACCATCATTTAGTCCTTTGACAACATAAGTGTTGAATTATGACATGGCTATAATGAAAGATCAAGAGAAAGTGAATATAAATTAAAAGGAAGTACCTATAGATCCACAATTTTGATTCTCATTTGATTTATAATCTGGATAAAGGAGGAGGGAAAGTATCGCAACAGATTTCGCATTTTGACACACAGTTAACCCCTTTAAAGGAATAAGTGATTCCTTCGAGGGGTTTTAAAGATATCCATTATTGGTGACCAAAACTAGCTGAAAGCAATGGATAGCATGAGTTTTCCTTATGAGAAAATAACATGGGACATATTGTTTTTCAAAGGAATCACTTATTCCTTTAAAGGGGTTAACTTTTTGTCAAATCACAACATATTGATGCAAGAAGCTGGGGTGGAAGGTGTTGAAAATTAGGAAAACATTTCAGAACTTATGTTACTATACTATTACGCATTCACTAATTACACAGGGTGTCAATAAGTCTCTACAATTATAATACAAAGTTTATGTCAAGTGTAAAGAAACTTTATGGATGCCCTGTATATAATTAACAGTGTGGCTATATGAACTACATGGTATTGTTGAAAACCTTAAAGGCAGAATCAGATCTATAGGGGGTGACAAAATTACAAGCAACTTTTATAATTGACCTACCAATCTATTCCTTAGACCTTACAATATCAGATACTGTATAAGTGGTAATTTTGCCTAATCATTTAATTTGCCTATTTCCTAATTTTTGCCTGGTTCGGAAAATGAAATGTCGGAAATATTGTCTTTATAATGTTATCCAATGGGAGGTTTCATCTCATTAGGAAAATTAAAATTAGGAAAATGATGAAATTTGACCATTCGGAAAATTAACCACTCGGATTAAATACCACTTATACAGTATCAAATATAATATCTCCCAAAAGATTCACATTAATGATTCAAAGTGCAAAAATGGGTGGAAAATGTTTAAATTCTCCCAAATAATAAGAATGGTAACCATTCTTATAGAAAAATAATACATTATTGTAAAAAATCTTTAGTTTTCCTTGAATAAAGTACAGTAGAACCTGTGTAAGTGGAACACTCTCCGTTCTGCCACAAAGCGTTCCACTTAGAAGGTGTTCCACTTACGGAGGTTTTGGGTTCGCAGGGAACATACAAGATCAAATATAGGATTTATATGTATCATTGGAAATATGATTCTCCCTTCATTACAGGGCAGGTATATACCATTAATAATCCATTTATTTTACTCAAAAAGGTATCTGACATTTTTAATCCTCCTCATTCTGCCAAAAATGTTTTCTGACATTCTTAATCCTCCTAATTGTGCCAGTCTCAGGTACAGGGATTAAGCAATTAAGTTTTAAAGACCTGTTCCTACTGCTAATAATTCAATTGTTTTTAAATGACATTTTTAATCTTACTTATTAAGTTTGAAACAAACAGCAAGGGATATTAATTAGTGGTAGCATCACGTGTCCAGTTCTACAGGAGGTTAATCCAATTTTCTAAATGAAAATTATCACAGTATTACCTGTTTTCATACCCAGATATCATTGAAGGAGATTAATTCTGTTTACATATATCAATATTGAAATCTATGGAAATTAACTGTTCCACTTAGCAGGTTAATTTTTCAATATGGGGTGTTCACTGTTCAAGTTTGGAGGTGTTCCACTTACAGAGGTTCAATTAACATTAAGTCAATGGGTTTTTAAAACGGGACTTTGAAAAGGCATTCCACTTGGGAGGTGTTCCACTTACGGAGGTGTTCCACTTAGCAGGTTCTACTGTATGCACTTTTGTGATTTTTAGAAAATAGACATGACAAGGAATGACATGAGCCAAAAATATTCTAAAATTGAGACAATTTTTTGTCTAGCCTGCTTGCTATATCTGATTCTCTCTTTAAGGATCATAGTGGTTAAGGCCAGGGTGCATGTTCAGGATTTTGCTGCATTCCTCAAGTGAGTTGCATATTATTTTTCAAACAGGAATTACTCCTTCCCCACATTTTCTACATCTTCCAATTTTGTGCAAACAGTGCACTTATGCATGTGCCTAGAAAAGACATGTGAGAAGATTTGTTTTGTAAAATGTATAAAAAACAAGAAAATTCAGTGTAAAAAATTCTAAAAATTTTCAGTATTTTTAACTTAATTTTCTTGTTTTTATACATTTTATCAAAACATTCTTCTCAGTCTTTTCTAGGTACATTAGTGCACTCGTTGTGCAAAAGTGAGAGATGTAGACACTGTGGGGAAGTAGTGATTCAAATTTGAAAAATAAAATGTGACCCGATTGAGGGATGCAGCAAAATTCCGAACATGCACCCTGACCTTAATATAAATTTACATTGTGTCACATTTTGTATGTATCTAACTTCTGATAGAATAGTAAGTGATACAGTATGAAGTTTTTTTTCATTTATTTATTTATTTATTGGGGATGGTTTATATGCTTTAGCAACATATAATATAATGCTACATTGATTTCAATGGAGTGTTACACTAAACTTGTATATTATATTGATCCTAATTGATACACTTTCAAGAGGCACAAATTATTATTAGAGCACTCAAATACAAATACAATTCTCTGGAGAGTAAATGGGAATCTTTAGTTGTTAATAAGGCTGAAGTCAATGTTGTTTGCTCAATTCGCAAAGCTGCTGTTTATTTAAATACATGTAGTTATAGAAACCAAATTGAACTTTCCAGATATTTGTTATTGCAGTTAGGAAATTGTGATCTGATTATTGATAAGTTTAAAGAGTTTGTCTCTGATGGTGTTCCGATTCGAACAATACTAACCAACAGCATGCATATGGTTCCAGAATTATAAACATCTAATTGAGAAGTTTTCCTTTTTCTATAGGAAATTGATTTATATTGATCAATGATGAGGTATTTCTAGATGATGAACATAGGTTGGTATTGATTATGTGATTTAAACCCTTTTTGTTCGTAATAGAACCATAGAAATACAATTAATTGGGTTTATATGTTATAGGTTGCTTGAACGTAAATGTATATTTTAATGAATAATACTCTGGTCTTTTTACTTTATTAAGTTTCTGGGTTAGTTAGTTCTCACTTTTTCCTTTTATTTTCAGTATTGGGCAACTGGTTCACTGTTTAGTGATTTATTAGTTTCCTTTAACAGGTCATAGCAGTCACAACTTTTAGACATAATATACTTCATTTTCTTTTTTCCATATTTTATAAAGTATTTAAAATATCTATTTATTCATAGATATCAATCAATATCCACTCTTGGATATAAATGATTTTTTTTCAAAACCATAGGATATTCCTAAAACATTTTTGACAACAAATATTTATTTTTATTTTATTTATTTAATTGGACACTACGCTTTTGAAGCAGCGGCAACCAAGTGGGTGCGTCCACGTTGACCTTAATTACATATTAAAATCTTGTTCATGTTTACAATGCAGTTGTAGGGACGTTAAAATAAGGTATTAAAATAATCTTCGTACTAAAATAGCTGTTTCACTAAAATATTGCTTTTAAAAAACATTAACTGATGATGTCAAAAATACAACCAATATCCTGTCTACCAAGGTTATAAACCTTATCCCCAATAATCCATTTCAATTGCTGTGATGGAGGGCTTTTTGCGAATATATCTGCAAGATTTATAGGTATCATTTTGTATATAGTTATATGAAAATTACAACGTTCAGCTTGAAAATGTGGGCATGTGATAAGTCTGTGCTCCAGATCTTCTGTTGAGGGTGGGCACCATTCACACATGGGAGATATAGGGGGATTTTTGTTCTTCCCTTTACTCTTTTCATCGCGTAAGTTAAACTTCCCTGCTCTTGCTAGGAACTTAATGCTGGCAGAATATAATTTTACAGTTTCATATTGTCTTTGTTGGCCAATGTGATTCAAACATTTGAAATTTTATCACCTAAGATAAGGAAAATGCAAATCAATGTTTGTCCACTTTATTGGGCTATTGGGGATTTTTTTCCCTATGACTGACATTGCTTTGAATGGTTTAAGCATTTTTAAGTAAAAGGTATTTGCAAAACTATTTCTCTTGAAACTCAGTAAAAGGATTTAGATAGAGAAAAAATAATGGGCCAAAATAAAGTGATTATTTTTGCGAGAAGGGGAGAATACAGCATCTTGCTTTCTAATAGCGGAAATTGATGTTTGATTATGATATGGTTTTGAGGCCTGAGCATGTAATACAGCTCAAATCACTAATTGCTCCCTTTTATGCAGTACTTGACTTATAGGTCTATAGAGAACCTTTTTATATTATCATTATTTGATGGAGTTGATATACTGGGGATGGATAAATATACTCATTTAGTAGTCTAAAGCCTAAGTCCCATTTGTTACAGCAACCGTACAGTCTATCATTTCTGCAGTCAGTAACATTTCTATGGTCGCCTTAGAATTTTAACAGTGAGATAATTTAGCAGTCACATTTGTTAGGCCATATTTTGAGTTTGAGGAGACATAAAAACCAAAGTACACCTGATAATTGATAATGCATGGTCAGCATAGGGGGGCTTTGGGGTGGGCATACTTTTTCTCTGCAAAAATCAAGCTGGTAGACGCAAGGCAGCCGCACGGTGGGACCTTTCTACAGCTTGGCTGCAGTTAGTTGATTTCTACAATGACCGCAGAAATGAAAAAAGTTGTAACTCTGATATATAATTTCTACGGCAACTCCATAACCTGTAAAAACTGGATCGCCATAGGGAAACTGCAAGGCAACTGTAAGGCGGCCATAGCTTTTCTATGTTTGTCGCAGAAATTAACTGATTTTAAGGATCTATGGTCACCATAGAGCAAATATGACTAAGGCTTAATTAAAATCATAATTCATTTGTATCTACATTGCTTATTATTGAAAACAGATGCATTGACCTATATTTGGAGTTGTTCCTTAACTATTAACACAGAAAAGAAAGCGAACCTGTCCTGGTCCACATGTTTGTATTGTACTAGTGCAGTCTCCTTCTCCAACCAGGTTAGCACAGTTAGCAGAGTGACAGTCCAAGCCCTTGCTTGGTCTCACTACAATAAAATGAGATCTGTATTAAAAATGTTCCAAACCTTAATATATTAACATGTTGTAATTAATTTTCAATTCAATTATTCAATTGTTTTTTATCATTTTAGTTAATTTGATAATTATCCCATCGAACGAAGTTCGGAGGGATATAGGGAACGCCTCCGTCCGTCCGTACGTACGTCCGTCCGTCCGTCCGTCCGTCCGTCCGTCCGTACGTACGTCCGTCCGTACGTACATCTGTCCGTCCGTCCGTCCGGGCAATAACTCAAATACCGTTGGCCCGATTTTGTTAATATTTTGTACACATATACCCTATGGGGGTAGAAGTTCTGCTCGAAAGCCGATTTTTAAAATGGCCGCTCATTTCAAAATGGCGGCCATTTTAGTGCCGAATTTACAGTAATTTAGGTGCAATAGGTAAAACTGTAATAGCAATATGTTTTAGATGTAAAAAAATTATATAGGACATTAATAAAGCTAGAAATGTAGATATTAAAGAAGCACATGGCAGCTATCTTGAAAAATGGCGGCCTTTACGCGTTATTTTACGATTTTTGCTGTAACTCGAAAAGTAGTGGAGCGATTTTGTTCATATTTGGTATGTGAATACTATAAACATTGCACACTGTCTAAAGACACTTTTGGTAGAAGGTGGCCATTTTAAAAAATGGCGGCCATTTTGAAAAATGGCCGCCATTTAAACCTATTTTACTATAACTCGAAAAGTAGTGAAGCGATTTTGTTCATATTTGGTATGTGAATACTGTAAGCATGGCACACTGTCTAATGACACTTTTGGTAGAAGGCGGCCATTTTGAAAAATGGCTGCCATTTTAACGCATTTTACTATAACTCGAAAAGTAGTGGAGCGATTTTGTTCATATTTGGTATGTGAATACTATAAGTATGGCAAATGGTCTAATGACACTTTTGGTAGACGGTGGCCATTTTTGCTATATACTTTGTTTGTAAAAATAAAAATGCCATCCATAGCTGTTCGATGGGATTCGCTACGCATTGGCGTTGCCGTTGTTCTGGTTTTTGTTCAGCACATAAGAAACTTCAAGGGCTGTATAATGTACATGCCTAAATAAACCATATTAGTTTACAATAGTCTTTTGTTTCCAAAAATAACAAATAAGAACAATTGATTATTGAAACTTAAAAAAGAGAAGCACAATATATCATTAATATTAATTGTTTTTTGTTTTTTTAGTTTTAAATTAAACTAGATAATACTGTTAGCGTACATGCTTATATTTAACTATCATAAAATCAAAAAAATTTCCCCAAATTTTTTTTTGAAATATTTCAAGAGTAGTACATAATTTCTTACCTAATAAGCTTATTTGTATAAATGTCACAATAGGTAGAACTGTCTTGCTCCACATAGTGATAACTCGTTCTACTCTTGTCCTCATCCAAATCTGATAATTCAACGCATGTTGTAATTGTTAAACATGTAAGTGGTTGTAGTCCTTCCTACCTTTGGCTTTATTGGATACATAATCAATGGATCAATTTGGAGGTTATTGAGTTTTTCTCTGGATTATGTATGCTTTCAAGACGTGTTGAAGTTTCTTATTAAAGAGATTAATATACTTTTTAATCACAAAGGACTAACAGTTTTTTCTGTGATGAAATGTTTGTCCTACTTTAAAGTATGAATAATATTCATGTGTTCAATAATGTGTTCACTACTCCAGGATTTAAAGATTTTTGAAAGGTTGAGTTAAGGCAGTTCTATGCACTGATGGATGTATCCAATTTTATATTATATTAAATATAATTATATTTGTATTATTTCATAATCAAGCAAAAATTAATGGTATCACCAACTTTGTTTTTTACTAAAGCTAAAAAACATTTTGATCCTCCATATTGGGGGTATAGGTGATTCATATGAAGAGGGCATATTGTCTACAAAATGAAATATCTTTTTATTTACCCATACTGGATAATTCAACCATTACTAATTTTTAGAAGATTACTGACATCTTTTTTAACTCTGCTGTAAAGTAAAACAAAAATATATAAAATGCCATTAATAGGGATAACTCATTAAATCCATAATTTGGGGATCATGCTATTTGTAGGCATTTTTGCACCAACCAAAAAGTATCAAAAAGTGATATCACAGAGTTTATATGATGCAAAGCAGAACACTCATCAAATCATCTGATGCTTTAAACCATATTTTGCCAAATAAGCAGGTTGGGGCTAGAACAAGATTCAGGTATTTGAATATGCCAGTCTTGTTAAAAAAAGTTTGAATTGTTCTGAACAGTTCCCAGTAAGCAAGGTGAAGATGAAGTTGGGAGAAACCTAGTTTAAAGAAAATAACAACATTACTTTGACAAAACATTAACAAAAATGTGGTGTCATAATCTCAAACTTTCAGGATATAAATGGGTTCACTTTTCAAGCTTAATTCATTTTTCCCAAGAAACATGATTTAAATTCCTTTATGAAGACCAAGTACAGTAGTGAAACATCTACCTAATCACCAGCTTAATGGCTCATAATCCAAGAAGTTGTTTTTTCACCCTTGGTAAATGCATCGAAAAGAATGACTGTGGTTGGGTATAACAGCTTGACTGCAGTAAAATGCTTATTTGTGAATTTCAGTTATCCTTAACTAGCTTAATATCTACTTTTTGTTTCAAAGGACCATATGATATATTGCAAATGATTTTAGACAGTCATGTATTTTACGACGAGTGTTTTCTGGGCATAAATACGGTGGGTTTTTATGTGTTTTCTATCAAGTGAAGTCCCCATGATGATAAAAATATAAATCAAACAATTCGAAAAATTATGAATAGGGACCCCATGTCAACAATTTTTCCAAAATGTTGAATCTACATCATGATTTTACAAATCACTAATTTGAAAGTCTAATTTTTCCTTGATTTAAATTATGTGAGGAAAGGAGTGTCTATTCCAGTCATCGTGATTTTAAAACTTTCAAAAAAGATTACCCTGCTGGCAGAGTCTATTTATTGAACTACCCTCCACCTAAATATTACCTTGAAAACAGGTTTGATGTCTATCTTCCTTCGTTGGGATTTCGAAGATATATTAACTTGCAAAGTAAGTAAATATTATCATGAAAACAGGTTTGATGTGTATCTTCCATCGTTGGGATTTGGAAGATATATTAACTTGTAATGTAAGTAAATATTACCATGAAAACAGATTTGATGTGTATCTTCCATCGTTGGGATTTGGAAGATATATTAACTTGCAAAGTAAGTAAATATTATCATGAAAACAGGTTTGATGTGTATCTTCCATCGTTGGGATTTGGAAGATATATTAACTTGTAATGTAAGTAAATATTACCATGAAAACAGATTTGATGTGTATCTTCCATCGTTGGGATTTGGAAGATATATTAATTTGCAAGGTAAGTAAATATTACCATGAAAACAGGTTTGATGTGTATCTTCCATCATTGGGATTTGGATGAAATATTAATTTGCAAGGTAAGTAAATATTACCATGAAAACAGGTTTGATGTGTATCTTCCATCGTTGGGATTTGGAAGATATATTAACTTGTAAGGTAAGTAAATATTACCATGAAAACAGATTTGATGTCTATCTTCCATCGTTGGGATTTTGGAGAGATATTAATTTGCAAGGTAAGTAAATATTATCATGAAAACAGGCTTGATGTGTATCTTCCATCGTTGGATTTGGAAGATATATTAACTTGTAAGGTAAGTAAATATTACCATGAAAACAGATTTGATGTCTATCTTCCATCTTTGGGATTTTGGAGAGATATTAATTTGCAAGGTAAGTAAATATTACCATGAAAACAGGTTTGATGTGTATCTTCCTTCGTTGGGATTTGGAAGATATATTAATTTGCAAGGTAAGTAAATATTACCATGAAAACAGATTTGATGTCTATCTTCCATCGTTGGGATTTTGGAGAGATATTAATTTGCAAGGTAAGTAAATATTACCATGAAAACAGGTTTGATGTGTATCTTCCTTCGTTGGGATTTGGAAGATATATTAATTTGCAAGGTAAGTAAATATTACCATGAAAACAGGTTTGATGTGTATCTTCCATCGTTGGGATTTGGAAGATATATTAATTTGCAAGGTAAGTAAATATTACCATGAAAACAGGTTTGATGTGTATCTTCCATCGTTTGGATTTGGGAGAAATATTAATTTGCAAGGTAAGTAAATATTACCATGAAAACAGGTTTGATGTGTATCTTCCATCGTTGGGATTTGGAAGATATATTAACTTGTAATGTAAGTAAATATTACCATGAAAACAGGTTTGATGTGTATCTTCCATCGTTGGGATTTGGATGAAATATTAATTTGCAAGGTAAGTAAATATTACCATGAAAACAGATTTGATGTGTATATTCCATCGTTGGGATTTGGGAGATATATTAATTCGTAAGGTAAGTAAATATTACCATGAAAACAGGTTTGATGTGTATCTTCCATCGTTGGGATTTGGAAGATATATTAACTTGTAAGGTAAGTAAATATTACCATGAAAACAGATTTGATGTCTATCTTCCATCGTTGGGATTTTGGAGAGATATTAATTTGCAAGGTAAGTAAATATTACCATGAAAACAGATTTGATGTGTATCTTCCATCATTGGGATTTGGATGAAATATTAATTTGCAAGGTAAGTAAATATTACCATGAAAACAGATTTGATGTCTATCGTCCATCGTTGGGATTTGGAAGATATATTAATTTGCAAGGTAAGTAAATATTACCATGAAAACAGGTTTGATGTGTATCTTCCTTCGTTGGGATTTGGGAGAAATATTAATTTGCAAGGTAAGTAAATATTACCATGAAAACAGGTTTGATGTGTATCTTCCATCGTTGGGATTTGGAAGATATATTAACTTGTAATGTAAGTAAATATTACCATGAAAACAGGTTTGATGTCTATCTTCCATCGTTGGGATTTTGGAGAGATATTAATTTGCAAGGTAAGTAAATATTACCATGAAAACAGATTTGATGTGTATCGTCCATCGTTTGGATTTGGGAGAAATATTAATTTGCAAGGTAAGTAAATATTACCATGAAAACAGGTTTGATGTGTATCTTCCATCGTTGGGATTTGGAAGATATATTAACTTGTAAGGTAAGTAAATATTACCATGAAAACAGATTTGATGTCTATCGTCCATCGTTGGGATTTGGAAGATATATTAACTTGTAAGGTAAGTAAATATTACAATGAAAACAGGTTTGATGTGTATCTTCCATCATTGGGATTTGGATGAAATATTAATTTGCAAGGTAAGTAAATATTACCTTGAAAACAGGTTTGATGTGTATCATCCTTCAATGGGATTTGGAAGATATATTAATTTGCAAGGTAAGTAAATATTACCATGAAAACAGGTTTGATGTGTATCTTCCATCGTTGGGATTTGGAAGATATATTAACTTGTAAGGTAAGTAAATATTACAATGAAAACAGGTTTGATGTGTATCATCCTTCAATGGGATTTGGAAGATATATTAATTTGCAAGGTAAGTAAATATTACCATGAAAACAGGTTTGATGTGTATATTCCATCGTTGGGATTTGGGAGATATATTAATTCGTAAGGTAAGTAAATATTACCTTGAAAACAGGTTTGATGTGTATCTTCCTTCATTGGGATTTGGAAGATATATTAACTTGTAAGGTAAGTAAATATTACAATGAAAACAGATTTGATGTGTATCTTCCTTCATTAGGATTTGGAAGATATATTAATTCGCAAGGTAATTAAATATTACCATGAAAACAGGTTTGATGTGTATCGTCCATCGTTGGGATTTGGAAGATATATTAATTTGCAAGGTAAGCAAATATTACCATGAAAACAGGTTTGATGTGTATCTTCCTTCGTTAGAATTTAGAATATATATTGATTTGCAAGGTAAGTAAATATTACCTTGAAAACAGGTTTGATGTGTATCGTCCATCGTTGGGATTTGGAAGATATATTAATTTGCAAGGTAAGCAAATATTACCATGAAAACAGGTTTGATGTCTATCTTCCATCGTTGAGATTTGGAAGATATATTAACTCGTAAATATTACCATTAAAACGGGTTTGATATGTATCTTCCATCGTTGAGATTTGGAAGATATATTAACTCGTAAGTATTACCATGAAAACAGGTTTGATGTCTATCTTCCTTCGTTAGAATTTAGAATATATATTAATTTGCAAGGTAAGCAAATATTACAATGAAAACAGATTTGATGTCTATCTTCCATCATTGGGATTTGGATGAAATATTAATTTGCAAGGTAAGTAAATATTACCATGAAAACAGATTTGATGTCTATCGTCCATCGTTGGGATTTGGAAGATATATTAATTTGCAAGGTAAGTAAATATTACCATGAAAACAGGTTTGATGTGTATCGTCCATCGTTGGGATTTGGAAGATATATTAAC